ATTGGGATAAAAATGTAATATAGTTGAGAACCTTGATAAAAATAAAATAAAAATAAAAATTTTTGGGCAAAAAGAAAGTTATTGAAGGCAAATTACAATAGAGATTTAATAACAAATCCAACCACAACAGCAAAAAGTCAACGGATATTAGAGAGAGAGAGAAAGAGAGAGAGAGAGAGAGAGAGGAGAAATTATCATTTCATAACTAGTAAAGTAATATTAAGACTACTGCACATCAATCCATCACAAATAGAGCTATAAAAGTTCCATCCATCAAGATTTAAATTTGAACAAAGGATGCATATAGTGGTCGTAGCATTTAAGTATACCTACTTGTAGGGAGCTGGCTTAAAAGGTCAATCAGAAACTCCATGAACCTCTCACAATACAAAATGCAAGCATTGTCTCCCTCTGTCAAGCCATTGACACCAACAAACTGATCATTTCCATCACCTGAATTACTCTGAGGGAAGACTTCGCCATCCAGAACCTGGTCTCCAAAAGTAAGACGAAGAACAAAAGATTTAATCAACTCCTTTCCCCAAAACTACAAACATAATCATAATCAGAAACACGGGCAACCTCCAGGAACTCCTCGATTAGGTTTCTCAAGAACTTCGCTTCAGTAGTTGACAATGGATCAAAAACCTCCCCTCGTTTAATAAACTCTTTAGCCTCTCTCTTTATCATCCTTTTCCATTTCTTTATTACATCAGTATTAAGACAAAGTTCCATCTGCAGATGAATGAAAAATAAAAATGCTGTTACACATTCCAATAGTTAAAGAAGATTAGCAGCAGAGCACATCATACCTGAAAACGACCATAAGATAAACTGTGCCAAGACTGCAGACCTGCTATTCTCAATACAGTCTCACTGACAATCTCATCCTCCAAGCTCTGCAGAAGTTAGTTTTTAAAGATCTATAAGCAATAAAAGAAGAACAATACAAGGGATATTAGCAGAAACAGTCACCAGTCCTAAAAAATTTATTTACTGTTAGCGTATTAAGCAATAAAAGAAGAACAATACCAGGGGATATTAGCAGAAACAGTCACCAGTCCTAGAAATATTATTTACTATTACCATATCCAATTCCATTAAAAGTCAATTTCTGCTTCCATAGAGCCTGGGAGCTGATCAGTTTCTTGGATTGTTTATGAGTTGCTCTTCCAATTTAATTTTGTAATTATGCTTTTTTTTTGTTTTATCAATGACCATTGGGCTAATTTCTTGGGGCCTCCCTTGGAAATGCATGAGTTGATAAGTGATAACTTAACTATACTCATAATCCAATAGGTAGTTGTTCAACAACCAACGTATGATTAAACGACAATCTAAGTGTCACATACCTGAAAGGCATTAATCATAAAAACAAGATAATTTGTCTTCTCTGCAATGCTTATATCTCTTCCCTGCATCATAAATAGAAGTGATAATATTTTCAGGAAAATCTGATAAATTAGGGTCAAAAATAACAAAAAGAATGAAGTACTTTGTGGCCTACAACATAAGAAAAAAGACAGTCGTATAATGACGTGGAAAGTAAAACTTTACAAACTTACAATGGGAGGAATAATTTAAGCAGAAACTCTACAATACCATCAAGCTCAAATACCCAGTCATCGACATAAAGTAAATTGATAACATATGCATGCTATGTTGCTACTTATAATGATTTTTATCAGAAACGGGATAATTCTATTAATAGAAAAAAAAACACAAAAAAGAGGATAATGTACATTCTTAAACTAAAAAACAACCAACAGTTGCAATAGAGGACTCCATCAACAACACAAACTAGCAAAACATGAGTACAACTGAGAAAGCTAGTAAGTTGTGATCTTGCTCTTCAACCATTACAACATATATTAAAGCTCTGCCATATGCAACCCCATATTTTGGAAGTAAAAGGCACAACTGCAAAATACGTATCAAATATTATATTTCGATGCTAGACAAGATACCAACAATTCAGGCCAAAAACAATAATGGAGACTCTCTCTCTACAAAACATTAGTGGAGCTAGTCCTTCCTAGGACCATGAGCGAAGCAAATAACCTAACTTTCTTTGAGATTTTTAACCTCTACAAAGATGAGAAAGAAGACTCCAAATTTTTTTTTATCTATGTAACTACATTTTTTTTCCCTAATTTTCTCTATTTCTGATCTTTATTGACTAGAACCCTTTTCCTATCATTATCATTTTTTGGTAGCTTCATTCCTTAAGTCGACCTCTATTTTTGTATAGCTCTTTGTACTTACATTTATTAAATTAATCACCCAATATTGTAAATCAATATTAAAATATAAATAAAGGACGATAATCTTTCAACTATAGTCTTCCTAGTTATTACTTGGTGTAAATATTCTCCTCCGTTCCATCACTATAGCTACACTTCCCTCTTATCCAATTGAAAGTGCTTCATGTAATCCCTTCTAGGACTTTTGTAATTTCATACATCAATAAAGTTGTTTCTTACACCCAAAAAAAAATATAATCTTTCAAGTATCATTAGAGCAATTTTCACAAGGTGACATACTATGTGTAATAAGAAAAAAGAAAACTAACCTCCTTCAGTCGAAGAACCCTCTCAAGAAACCCCTTAAAGACGTCCTTCCGATCATAAAAACATACCCAAGCTGCAACATTCTCTCTAAACTACAAGATCAAATTTCAATTATTAAGTGACACAGCAGTTTCAAATGATGAGCATTCACTGAAGTGCCATTTTTAAATTTAAAAGAAAAAAAATACAAGTTTTCAACAAATTAAAACTAAAAAAACAATAAAAGAATGGTGAGCCTCTTTCTAGATGAGCTCTTATGAAATTTATTTCGGTGAACACCTACCCGGTGAGCTTTCTAGTTTGCTAATTGTCCCATGAAATTAGTTAATTGGGTTGAACTCACATCAGTATAAAAGGGGGGAAATCGAGGTTCATTTCACTCCTTTTCGTAGCTTCCCAGCCACCAATAAACAAACATTTCCTCCAATATAACATTCTTCCAGAACAGAGCTTATCGAAACCTTAAGTAATTTCGACATAGCATGAAACAACTTTACATTTCCCGTTATATTCTTAATAGATTTCCATTACAACATAACAAACGGTACGTTTAGAGGGAGAAATACTCAGAAGAACAGTTCATGAATACAAGAAAGCTTTTCACATAACAATTACCTTTTCATTAACCATGAGTATCATCGACATTACATGCTCGAACGTCGCAGTCTCCGGGTCAAAATTGGGCCACAGATAGTTTTCCAAATACTGACTGACCTCCAAAATCATCACCCTCTGCAGCGGAACGGTTTTCCGGCCCTCTTTAACCAACAGCTCCGTCTCGTAAATCTTCTTTACCAACTCTGGATCAAAGGGCTTCTTAGGCTTCGAGGGGTCCCTTACTTTCGACCAGTTCGCCGCCGCAATCTTCGTTAGCCGGTCTCGTTGAATCTCCGATAGTGTTATCGTGTTTGGCAGTGCCGCGCCGGGCTTAGACTCAACGGGATTGTCGTCGACCTGATTGGATTCGACGGGGTACTCCGCCACTCTGTGACGCTTGAAATCATACACACCAGTTCCATAGACCTTCGGCATTCTGTGCGGTTGGAAACCTTAACTTCTACGGTAGATGGAGAGAGTTCTAGGGTTCCGAAGTTCACAAAATGCTGCAGGGTTTTAGCTAGAGGGATGGATTTACTGAAGGATAAACCTCGAGAGCTGGGTTTTGAAGAAGCAGCAGAGTCGGTGTAAACGGCCTTGTCCCTGGCCGGAGTCGGTGAATGGCAAATATCTTCACCGTGGCAATCGGAATTTAGTGATTAGAAAGGAGGCGCCGGCGGCGGCGTAAATGCCCATCCCCTACCAGAGCCGGTGATCGTCTTATATCTTCTAATTGCAACCCCAGGCGTTCGGAACGCGAAATTGTGAAATTTTCAGTAGAATTTCCTCAAATACATGAGTCCTCTTTTTTAATATAAGAAATTTAATAAATATAAATGGTCAATTAATACATAGAACCCACGAATTTAAAAAATTAAAATAACTCAATCGTTTCATTCAGAATCCACTCGATACTCTGTGAACTCAATCCAATGTCCACAGAGAGAGAATAACCGAAAGAAACAACTGATTCTCGAGAGGGGGCGTGAGGACTGAACCTGCTGAGCGAACACCAGGCCGTGGCGTGCGTGACGATGCTGATCACTGGGGTGGCCGGCAAGTAGAATATATCAGCGATTTAAGACTGGGAAGAGCACCGCAGCAGAGGGAGAAATCGTTTTCGCGAAGGAAGACTTTTACTTTTGTTGGCCTATTTTGATTAATATTGTTAAGAATAACCTATGTTATAGAGGGCAAATGGTTTGTCTTTATTGTGCTATTTATTATGGTAGATAAACTTAACTTTTTTCGTTTTTTGGGCAAAGAACAAACAAAACCACAATGGGTTAGATTGCAAATATGACTTTCACTACCTTCATTTTAGAGTCACCCGAAAATATAACTGTGTCACATGATAGATATACGAAAAAAAATAATTTGTTTAGTCAAGATATCTACTAGTTTGTTCATATTGCGATTAATATAAATTGACTTCAATCTCGAAACATCTTTCACCAATCGTAAATGTCAAATACTCAACTTGCATCTTCCACCACATCTTGATCTCCCCTTTTTACCAAATAAATCACTTTGAGGTAATCCCGATAAGTGATAACACACTTTTTTTGGTTCTTTGAAATATAACATAAGTTTGGCTTTCTTAATATATTTTACCTAGTTTAATTTATATTTATATATATTTTTGTACTATATATATTTTTATTTCATTATATTTCAATGTAAACACTTGTGTGGGTATATATATATTGTTCCTATTTTACTATTTAATTTTTCTAAAACCCAAAGTTGTTTCAAGACTAAAATGTATCATAACTATATATTTCAACATTTTCCTTTTCAAAAGATAAAAACTGTCTCTGCGTAAAGAATGGGCTGGGTCGCTGGGCTGGTGGGCCAAACAAAAAGAGAGGTGAGATTGGTTGGGCCGTGCCGGCCTAGTGGGCCAAGCAAAATAAAGGGCCATCTTTCAACCCTCAATCTCTCACGCACGTTTCAAAAATGTAAAATGAGGACATATATGTAATTTCACTCCAACACTAAAACAACACTTTAGATACCAAAAACCTGAACTCCATAACTATTAGTGCTGTATGTACAATGGGTGAGCTTAAAAACTGGAAAAGGAAACCTGAAGAAAAATTAAATAAAACCAAATACCCAAAAAAAAAAAAACCCTGAAGAACCCTTGTTACAATATGCATTTGCTGAGAGGAAGTGAAGTCTTGGAACACATTTATACCAACAAAAATTGGTTACAAAAAGAAGAAGAAAGTCAAAAAGGGCATTAAATTCCTCCTTTTGCAGTAAAATTGTATCTGTCATCAGCTTTGCCTTTGAAATCCCCAGGCTGAGACAGAAAAAAGAGGCCTATCTTGCCAACAGATGAACAAAAATCCATTATCTTCTTTAACTTTGTACCCATCATAGCCATAGCTCTGCAACAATCTACTTCCCAGTAACATACTATGATAGCTCATCTGAACCCTCCCGAACCCCACGGATTCGAGCCTCAGTATCCATTTCTCGAGCTTTTCGTGCCTCTCCTTTCTCTCTGCCCCCTCGCAAGCAATGATGTTTTTGATTTCCTCTCCCAAAAGCATCTTCTCGACCCTTTGTCGCTCGATGGATGATCTCGTTACGGTGGACTCCAAGCAATCGAACAATGCAGCATAGAAGTTTAGTGCTTCTAGTACTCTCTCCATGAAAGCAGATCCATTCAGGTTCGATTCTTGCTCGGTTATTACCACCACTTTTGGAGACAGTCCCCAGAGTGAAGTCAAAAAAGTATTCATCTTTTGGGAAGGGTTCAATCCGGATGGAGAAGATACAGAGGTTGAATCAGGGCTTGTGAATTGCAACGAATCTGTCTCGAGCCACTCCCCGAGTGTTCGCTGCTTCATACGTAAGAGTTTTTGCAAGTTATTCGATGCAGATGGCGAGGTTTTCTTATCGTCGTCCGTAGCCAAAATTGAGTGAAGTTCGAGGATGGAGCTGACTGCAAGTGCTTCCCCTGTCTTCACTCTTAAACTTTCCAGGTCAAGGTTTTCTAACTTGCTAACTACTGGAGTGAACTGAAAAGGTATGTCCCATTTTTCGGCCTCTTCAGTCAGCCTGAGAGCCATCTGTTCCAACACCTCCTTCTGTTCGTGAATCCCGGTTATTCGCAAGTGGGGCGGACCGTCTGGCCTATCTTTCAACGTCTGAAGAAGGTTTATCCACTGTGCAGGCTCACATGATTTGAAATCAATGATATGAATCATCCTTTCTCCATCCATGGCTTCAATAATAGCCTGATTCGTTATCACATAAGCCAGCTTCAAGAAAGGACATAACTCAAAGAACAATCTCTGCGCAAGAATCTCTTCCGGGACCGACAATATTTTGGTAGAGTTCAGGGCTTTGTGTAAACCAGGCCAGGATTTAAGTATCCGATCAGCGAGTGCCTCGGTGAAGTAAGCAGCAATCCGCTGCATTGTGTCTCCGTCCGGCGAAGCAAGGTGGGAAATTTGCTCAAGGCCAACATTAGCATTCTCAATGTTACCAATAGCAACTTGGTTGGCACAGGCAAGAAGAAGGTGAATCAGACACAAGCCTCTCTCCTCAGATTTAAGCTCCCTTAAAAACGGATAAGGCGATCCTAGACCGGGAGATAACGACCATGGAAAGAGCTGAAGAGGCGATGAAGTTACCGACGAGGATCCCTCCCCATTAAACATTCCTGCCATTAAAGTACTCTGTATAAAGAGAAATCACACATCTCAGAACTGTTTCAACAAAGACAGAGATGACAAATCCGCAAAAGAATACAGAGTCCATGATTTATGTAGAAAAAAAAAACAGTCTAAACCAACCACAGCAGCTCAAAAACACCAAACTCTTCTCTCACTTACTTAATTTTGACATTTTCTAATAAGCCAAACAAAGCATTTTCAAGCCTCAAAAAGCTTCAAAAAGTTCAAGCAGACAGCAAACCCACCCAGTTGAAGAGATTAATCCAACAGAAAAATCATCATCTAGTAAAAGAACAGCAGAGACAGCATAGCAGAAAGCAACCCATTAATTGAAATCTTCACTTCAATTTCATCCAAACTAGTTTTCCCAACAAACAGCACCCATTAATCCAAACCATAAAAAAAAAAATTCGTCAGAACAAAACGAAGAAGAAATAGAGAGTTAATTACCAGAAGAGATCAAAACGAAACGATGGGTAGCGTAGCTACAGAAAAGTCGAATTCCCCGATCGAAACCACCCACAGAAATAAGAAAAACAGAATTATATAAGAAATCCTCTAGCTCGGTAAAACGATAGACGAACTCTGTTTCAAAGATAGAGGCGTGTAGGGTTCATGGCGTGGGGTTTTGATGAGCACCCTGGAATCAAAGGGCTTTGTCTGGAGCGACTTTTCCATGGCTGCGTTAGAGACAATACAATACAGGGGATTGTTTTTGTCGCCATTGATTTGTCCTTGTTTTGTAGGATCAGAAGAATAAGGAATTTCAATTTCACAACTGCAGAAAGTTTCCCTCTCCACATTCGTGTTGCTTCTCTCTCTAAATTGATGGGTTTTGGCAGGATGTGGAGTGGATGCGAATAAGAGCTGGCCAGAATTTGGAAGCATTCCAGAATTTACCACCGATCCAAACATGCCCTAACAAAACAAAACAACCACCCTCCATTGTTGCTTAGTGGGTGATAGTGGGAATTGCAAAGAAAGCAAGGAAAAAAAGAAAGGCTTTCTTTTCAAATGAATCCAAAAACCCATTCACCTCACCACTTTCTTAGCACATAAGGACAAAGAGACAACTGACTTGTGCAAAACCCCAAAACTAAATAGAACATTCAACTTTAGCCACCTCTTCTACGGTTCGGGTCGGTTTCGAGTTTGGATTCGACATCTTAAGCCAAGTCTTGAGTTTAGAAAACATGGGTTTGGTAAAAAGTGCATGAGAGAATGAGTTCGAGAGGAGTAGGTTTGAAATACTATTGAAACTCGTAAATCAGCCATATCCAACAGGCGAATACTAAATATAGGTTCGAAATTTTAAGTCAGGCTCACACACTTTCACCCTACATGTTTCTTAAATATTCGTTTTTTACCCGGTGTTCCTATCTTTTTTTTTCTGTAGATTATGGATTCAACTTTCAATGTCAGATTTCATACTATTGGTATCGTGTTAGAAATATATTAAAAGCACTAAATACATTATAATTTATATAGTTGAAGTGGTGATTTCATATTATTTAAGGGTAAAAAATATTGAGTTTGAACAATGACATCGGTTTTACTTTTCAACTAATATTATTAGTTTATATATTAAATTTTCCTTCATCTTTTCGACGTGGGGCCCTTAATTAACATTCACGATCCCAATTAATATTTGAGTCCACATATAAAGAAGAGGAGGGTATCAAAATATATCAAAAATATTAAATACACATAAAATTTCCCAATAAATTTTAAAACAAACTTTTCTAAAACATTTTTTTAGCAATATCAAAACTATTCCTCTCTAACCCCAATCCTCTAAATTTTGTTAAAAGGCAAAGCCTTAGAAAAATAATGGGTTACTGGAATTTACCATAATGGCCCCAATGTTAGGTTGAGTACTTGAAATGACTTTAATTGATTTTTTTTTTGTTTTTTTTTGTTTACTCTTTTTTTCCTTCATATCCACTATTATTTTCCTCAACTTGATGTTGAAAAAGATGGCTTTGGTGGTAGTAATGGTTTTTTGCTTCCATAAATTTGTGGACAAAGTAGTTTACAATTTTTACCCAAAAAAATTTATACAGACTGTGTCTTCATAAATTTCTTGTACTATATTGGTTTTGTTTTTGTTGTAAAACCACGACGAATTTATAACCAGCTATTAATAAATTGTCACAAAAGTTAAAAGTATATATTTTAGTTTCTCATTATTATCTGATAATTTATTGTTTTTCAAAAGTAACTTATTGAATATTTAAATTTAGTAGGGACGAGAAATGGAATGGATGGCGAGTATAGGGACGGGAGAGCTATCCCCTCCCACACCGCCCTTGACAATCTTAATTGAAATTTTATGATTAATGTAAATTTGTCAATCGCATCATTTCAAATAGTAATTTATTTTCGAGTAAAATTTAGGGTCCATTTGATAATTATTTTTTGTTTTAAACGTAGGATTTTAAACACTACCTGTTTTAATCCTTCATTATTATAGTTATTATTTTTTTTTTATATAAATTACTTACGTTTAACATATCAACCTTGTTTCCTATGATAATTTAGACAGTTTCTTGAGATTTTTTATATAGACAAAAAAAAATTAAATAAAAATAAAGATCCCAACATAATAAGAAAGTGTTCCAAGCATTTCCTAGGTTTCAGTTGCAACAGTTTCTAGGACTGATTTGGTTGATAGAAGAATTTGTCATATTCATTAGTCAATAAATAAAAAAAATAAGGAAAATAAATAAAATTTTATGCTAAAGCCTAAAGATGCTGTTTAAAAAAACAATCAAGCAGCTGGCAGGCTGTTTTGAATTGTCTTTTTGACATCTCATTATATAGAATTTTTTTTTACTAATTTATTTCCACAATAAAAAAAAAGTAATAGTAAAGAAAATATTTATTTTTCATTGTAAAAATATGGGCGATTAGGTAAAAGTAGTAAAAAAGTAATAGTAATTTGTAAAAGTAGCAACCTAGTTTCCATTTAGTAAAAATATCAAAATATGAAAACTCAACCCATACGGAAAAAGCAAAAGTTCAATATACTCTTAATGAACACGAAACCCAAATAATGATATACCTAATACATATACCAAATTATCTGAACATTGATACATCGGCAATATAACTGATATTACCTTAATACATATACTTGATTTTTCTCATTGATATTTCTAAAAGTTTACAAATATAAAATCATAATAACTAAAAAATAATAATAATTCATATTTAAAATATTTTACCATATTTTCAAAATTGACCAGAGCTTAAAGTCTTTTGGTCATACTGGTTTAGAAGTCTCAAGTTCGAACCTTCTATAGAGCTTAATACCAAAAATCTTTCATGTCTCCCGCGTTTGAGCCTTGGAACGAGCACGGGTGCCCCTAGATATAGAAGAGCAAAGTTCCAACGGTTAGTTATAAAATATATATATATATTTTACCATATTTCCAAAATTCAAAATTGTTAATCAGAAATTTTGTTTATGTCAATTCCACTTTCCCAAATAAAAAAATTGAAACATCAAACTAAAATAATAATAATAATTATTGTTATTATTATTATTATTATTATTATTATGTCCTAAGTTGTTCCATTTTATTTTATGTTTGTGCGACATATACTTAGAAATTGGCAGTTTGGCACTAAATACAAAATACACAAAGTTGGAGTTGGTAGGTGGATTTTCAAAGCTTCTGCCAATAAGCTTTGAAAGAGGAAGACTTATGAGAAGGGGTTTGTTTGGTAGTGAAATTTTGGAGAGAAACATTTAATGGAATCAATTTGGCATTTTGCAATGAAAGCTACCTTCTTGTCTTTACCAATAAATGCATCCAAACAATTGCCTTAGTGGGGATTTTTCCAAAGTCATGCTTCAATTTTTTTGTTGTTAATTAGATAATGCCCATTAAATTAAGCTAAGTTTTGGAGATTGCATTGGATTGTGTGGGCTAAACAACAAAAATTTCAATTAAAAATTTCCCTCAAATTGAGGACCCTTTTATTGGAAATTCAAATTTCACTACTTTAATGAGAAATTTAGTACTAGAGACAACTCAACTTTCAACAGTCTCACAAGATAATTGAATGTCTCTCACTAATTTCATCATACAATTCAACATCTCGATTAATGTTACTAGACATTTGTAGTTATACGTACTCAAACTAATCTTATAAAACAAATGGAGTTTAAGTACACTTGAGATACTTCAATCGGACAAATCCCCTATTGAAGAATTGTACCATAATCGTTCAGATCACAATGTTTTTTATATATTTTGACCATCTCTGTTTCTGATCTCTCGAATGTATTATGCATAATTATACTAATCTCACAAACTAACTACCAATTATTATGACATACTCAACAATAATTAATTTTAAGAATTTACTTAAAAGTTATTAAGATTTTAATATTTTAGATGGATGAGCACAATCAAAACTCAAAATCCTTTTAGCACCTATATTTTATCTGCTTTTTTCTAAATAAAGCAGAAAGAAACACAAGTTTTGCTGCTAAAGTTCTAAAATCTCACACATATTCAGCTTCTTTTATGGTAGACGTTACAAGCAATGCGACAATAAATCATATCCAAATTTTGCACAATTTGTGCAATAGTATTTATAATATAATTAAAAACGAAAAAGTGAGTCAACATAAGCTTAGCTTGGCGGTAATTAGCACTTGTCTCCAACCAAGATTTCATGAGTTCGAATCTTCCATCACTACTTGTACTCAGAAAAGAAAGAAAGAAAAAAAAAATCCCCGAAAAGCAATGGCGGGATATTTAAAATTTCTTCTAACATGCAAATCGAACCCTGGGTTGCGTTCCTCGGGTTACCGTATTTTTTATACAGCCTGTGGACAATCACAGTCAACCCTTAGGGCTGAGAACAACTTTAGCATATGAATATGGCATTTAAAATGAATATTTACAGCAGTTAACTATGAAACTCATTGCCATCAAGGTCAAAAAGCATCCGTTGCAGATAGATGCTAACTATAACTACTTCCCACTACCCCATACTAAATGAAAAATATTCCGGCTAGCACCTGCATTGATCAAATTCTTGCTCTGTCTCCTTAGCATCTCTTCTTGTTCGCTAACGTTACCATCCTAGTTTTTCATTCACAAAAGAATAAATAAATCAAATCAAATAAATACTCAAAAGATACACACAAATCGACTATTTGGAAAGCCTGAATTTTATAGGACGTGTTTTGATTGTACAGAGAATAAGTTATAGCAATACGTGTTTGTGTAACCTGTTTGTACTCGTTTGGATTTATGACTATAAATCTTCTTTTTCTTTTTTTATAATTGAGATTTAGAGGTTTGGTTCCCTATTCCTAAAGGCTGACCTAGGAGGCATTAAAGGCTTCTTTGTATTAAACTCACTCGAAGGTTTGAGCTTGAGACCTCTAAGCCACTGAACTAATATAACCAAAAGACCCCAAGTCCTTGTCAACGGGATCACTCCTTGGGGCTATCTCCGTATTACGTATATAAAAAGATGAGTTTCATAAATTCAAGTTTATCTAACATGGGTTATGTAGTGAGGAGCAAAATGCCACCTAACCTATAGGCTATAGTCTAGCTGTTGAAAAGTACTTTAGTCTAATATTTGAGTAGACTAACCGTTCTTGAAATTATCCAGTGTACGAAGATGGGATCTAGTTTATTTACTGCACCTACAAGCCTATAACAAATATCTCTTAAATCTATCCAATTCCCAGTAAGCACATAATCAAATGGATAATGAGCAACCTTATGAAACTGAAAGAAAATAAAAGTTGAACTTACTAGAAGAGAGTATGCTCGGGCAAGCAATAGAAGAGTCGGGTACAAATCCACAACAGCAACAGCAACCTCTTCCGTAACCTGTGGGACCTGTATACATACATGTCATAAACTTTCAAATGATCATAGGCTTTTGAGAAACAACTCAGCAATCCTTTATAAAAATGTTTATACCTGCATGAGCTGGAGGGCAAATACATCACTAACCGTCATCTTATCCAATTCTTGGCACTTTTTGATAAATTCATTGAGAGGGGGACAGACATCAGAACGACTAAGACGCTCGCTCGACGCCTGTGAAATGTAGTAATGTGTAATTGCATGAGTAAGATAACCGTACTTCTTTAGTGTATCAGACAAGCCACTGGTTCGTTGCACATCAAATCCCTCTAAAATCTCTGTCGTAAAGCAACTGCGTAGCATAAAATATACCACAGTTTAAGGAAGAAAAGTACTCTTGGAATTTCTTTATATGAATTACTAGATGTTAGGCTGAGAACAAAAATATGCGACCGGGAATCAGATGCAAAGCTATCCAAAAAAAAAAAAGATGAAAAATTAAAAGTACAATATATTTTTCTTTGTTGGAAACGTATATTTGTAAGTAAACATATTTTATTGATGAAATAAAATATAAC